TTTGAGTTGTTCATTACAGAAAGGGCCAACTGCTGAGATGCTGAAGCTAATTAAGGAACGTCAAAAGCTTCTAAAGTGGTCAGAGGATCATGATTTTGAGTTCAAAAGTGGTGTATGGATATATGGTTTTTTTTCATGAAAAAACCTTAATCTGTTTGGTAGATGCGCCGATACGGATTAGTAATTTGAGCCTCAAAACTGACCATTCATCCATGTGACCATATGTTTTCCTGAAAATTAAAAGGAAAAACTTGGTGGTTGCTTATTGAGCTTTAATATGTATAGATTCTTGAAAATAAGTGATTATGTTATAGATCTGATAAAACTTGGATTATCTCGGTCCATATGTATAGATTTATGGTCTCTGCTGCACAAATTATGTTCTGTTGAGATATGAGCTCGTAAATGGGATCTTGATTTTTGCATCTAATTAAAAGCTTTTGTTTTGCTGTTGGATAGAAATTCTGGCTGCTATACGAGCTCAATGAATTTGTCAGGTTTTTAAATATATTTTAGTTTCCATCATGGTCTCATGGTTTTGATCCAAACATTAATTGGACATTAATTAAAGTTAAATTTGTAGCAAAATGCAATTTTATTCTTCATATTTTGCCTTAGTTAATGGTTGATCTCTTTAAATGCCAAATTTCTCTCCTTCATACTTTATTGGGCTACGGTGTAACTTGAAGTTTTTCACCGTGAACATCATTGTTTCATTTTGTAGCGTTTGTGCATGTACCCCCCCCCCCCAAAAAAAAACATATGGCGCCAGATGCCATCACAAAAAATTTTATTTTATTAAAATCACATAGTAACCGTTCTTTATTATGCTTCTAAATTTAACCAAGAGTCTTTCAAGGGCATAATAAATAATAAAAAAATAAATATTACATCATGTCCTTAATATAAGATCTAGATAACCAAATTAGGGAGAATAAAAAATTTAGTTAAGTTGATTGTAACAAATATATGTTAACTTTTCTAAACTATCTCCTTCAGATCAATCATGTACATTAAAACTATTTCTTAGTGGGAACCCTTACAATTAATAATGATATTTTGAAGAAATCATTATAAATTTGAGAGACAGAATTGATATTGAAGTCTTATACTACCTCCGATCCTAATTATAAGACCCAGTTGACTTATTTGAGGAGATTAAGGAAGCAAGTTAAGTTAGTTATTTGTAATAAATAAGTGTTGTCATTCCTAAAATATCCTTACTAATTAAGTGTATTGGCTAGAACTATCATTATTAGAAGGATTATCTTGGAAAAAAATGTATAATATATGAGACAAAATGGATGGGGTCTTATAATTAGGACCAAACAAAAAGTCAAATGGAGACTTATATTAAGTACCGGAGGTAGTATTTATGACCAATTCACTAAGTCTCTTATATTAAGTATTGGTGGAAATATATTAAGCCAGGAGTGGTAATTTATCTAAGGTCACATTTGTTGAAGTTAACTAAATTATCTAGGCTCTAGCATCGTTAAACCTTAAAACTAGTTATGACTTATGTTTCATAACTATGGTTTTGAGGGATGGCAGCCGTATGCCGAGGAAGGGCAGTAGGGAGGGCTGGATCCTCCGGGAGAGACATACGGCTGGGGGTCGATGTACGGTACGGGATACACCGGCGTCTGTGAAAGTTTCCTTCCTCCAGTCATCAATATATACATAAATTAATACATACGTACATGGCTTAATTGATTGAAAATGATAGGAATGAAGAAAGGAAGAAAGGAGGAGAAGTAGTGGTACCAAGTTTGAAATCTGCGGAAGCCAGGTGGATGCAGAAGATGGTAAGAGGAGTGTTTTTGCCAGCACACAAGCAAATGACTGCGTCTGCTTCATTCATCACTCCCGTGCTGACGACTGTTGTGAGGGCATCAATATAATATAATACTACTTCTAGTAATTAATTTAATATAAGAGCTAGCTGATTAATTTGACTACATTAATAAAATTTATTAAGTTAGTAATTTGTAATAAATAGATGTTATATTTTTTAGAATACTCTTACTAATCATATGTATTAGCTAAAACTACTATTTAATGAAATTTTTAATATGTGCAACTATTATAAGAATTATTTTAAAAAAATAGATAAATATGAGGGACAAAATAAATTAGACTCTTATATTTATGACCAAATTAAATATCAAACTAACTTTTATATTAATAACCAGAGGTGGTAACTACTATTTATAGATTCATTTTAATTATCAACAACCCTTCTATGTGGTGGACATTGCTTTCCCACCGACGCTGTCAACAGCACTTTAATTATCTATTCTAATGGCCCTGTGGTTGTGTAAAATTTGGGTCTTCTATATGGTTGATTAAATCCGAATCTTCTCTACTTCCTCCATTCTAATTCTTTGCTTCCATTTTTTTTTTGAAATGCAAGCAATAAAATTATCATACAAAAGAATTTTATACGTTCAAATAGAATTTTCTATTACCTCTAATCAAGTATACCAAAAAAAAAAAAAGAATTTCAATTCAAGCCAAGCCTAGTTTTCACCATGTAATTTTTAAAAATATTTTTTAAACTTGAGTCTTTAAAATATACTTGTAAATTTCCACATGATTTTTTTCACATATAGAGAGATTTTTCCATTTCATGTCAATTCCATCTTATGCATCGTATTAAATTCCACTTCCAAAAGATATTAAAATCGTTGAGATTCATATATCAGTCAACAAGTCTGGTAAAAAAAAAAATGTTGACAAGTCAACATGATTGGATGAATATAAGATATTATATGCTCTCTTGTCCGTACTTCATCAATTCTTTTTTTTTTTTTTCCGTTTCTATTTGAAAAAACAGGCAAATAATATACTTATTATGACATAAAAGTATTTTATACATTCAAATAGAATTTCCAATTATATCATGTCAAGTATAGAAAAAAATTAAGGATTTCAATTCAAGCCAAGCCTGCTTTTCATAAAATAATTTTTTTAAATATTTCTTTTTTAACATGAGCGTTTGAAATATCTTTGTTTGCATTCATATTTTATCGAATATATATAGCCTTTTAACATTCTGTTCATCGCATTACATCTCACTTCTAAAAGACATTGACTTTGGAATATCTTTGTTTGATGAATATAAGAAATGTATGTATTTTTCCCCACATGAAGCACTTATAATTATTAGTTAGTCAAATTATAGGACTGGCATTTGCACACACTCAGCTCTAATGCTAAAAGCACTGCATCAATAATGCTGCTTGTTGTGTGTGTGTGTGTGTGTTATATACATATATGTATATATATAGTTTTTTCTTTTTCCTATTTGCACCTCATACGGTTACTTAAATTTAACCCCTTTTTTTTCACTTATTCATTTCCATTTCTGTTTCTTCGTTCTGAAAAAAAGACAAAAATATGTCATTTAAATGAATTCATAAACACTCACCACCTAACCAAGAAGGTTTCGATCGAATAGTAGAAGCGGTTCTGATATTAAGAACACCAGGAAGAAGACGACGTTGGGCATTGATAGTGTATTATTCCTTTTATGCGCTTCCGAAAACAATCTAACCCAAAAGAGACGCAGAAGCATGAGGTTCGGTGAGAATGGAGAGTTCGAGATACTGCAGGTGGCAGATATGCACTATGATCTAGAAACCTTGGAGTATATAGATTCTGGTTTGCGCTTTGGGAGTGGAAATATACATCCAAACATATATGCAGATATATATATATATGATGATGATTTTCATGAAATCCCTTGCTTAGCTCGCTGCAAATAATAAGGGGAGAATTAGAATAGAGGACCTATAGAAAAAAATATTTAATAAAAGGAATCATAAAAATTAGAATTATTTAAAAGGACCAAAATTTAAAATATTGATCCTAGAATACCAAATTACCCCAGTTCGACATTCATCTCTCTTCACGATTTTTCTGCCTTGATATAGTAGTAGTTATTGCTTTCCTCCCCTTTTATTTAATTAAGTTGTTAGGCATTTATTTCAAAATAATGTAATTGCTTTTTCTCCATAAGTTTTTAAGCAAGTCGGAGCGTCCTTAACCAGGCTCTATGTACACAATTCTTTCTGTTATTCATACTAAGAATTTGCAATTATTAATAACATTATTCTAGGAAGATCTTCAACTTTCCCTATTGCAAGTGATAACATCCAAAACCATTTGTCACTCACAGTCCTAAGTCCAACGGTGCAGACTCTGCTGCTAAATTGTCCATCGCCTGTTGATTTTTGATATAGCCATACAATAATGAAAGTGGATGAATAAAATGAGGATAAGTTGCTAAAACATATATATATATATATAGGCGGTGTTTGGATAAAAATCATATCATAGTTTTAAAAGTGCTTTTACAGCATATAAAATAAATATGTGGAAGAGTCTGTCTCGTTTTGCAGAAAAGTGCTTTTAAAAAGTATTTTTCATCTTGCCAAACATCTCCATAATCAATCGAGAAAATGCCGATATCTTAAGGTCAGACTATAAAAAAATAACTACAAATATACGAATGGATTACAGGAATTCACAGATGTTGAAAAGACTTTATCATCAATAAGTTTCAGTGATTTTTCAATTCTGTGTAGAGTGGGAATGCGACGATTGTTGGGAAACAAGAAAACTCACTAATTGTCCAATAATTGAGATTATAACGAAAAAAATCTGAGATGCGGTAACAGAGAACATCGGAAGTCTAGTTATGGGCTATTTAAAATAATTATGGTCCTTTTCAAATAGTATTTTAATTTTTGGTCTTTTTAAATAATTATGATTTTTATGATCCTTTAAAATAAATTTTATTTTTTCTAGGTTCTTGGTTCTAATTCTCCCAATAATAAGGATTCCATTTTGTTATGGGCTTTAATAGTGGCAGTATAATCATACTTTTTGATTAATAAGAAAAGAAAAGCTAGTTTTGGACGGCGTTGCTGCTCAGATAAAATATGTTCTGTTGTAAATCACTATCTCTGATCTTAAGTATAAGATCTTATTTATAGTCTACAAATAAAATTTTATAATTAGGACTGAAAGTGGTATAATTAAGCTCTTGGATGGGTACGGTACAGAAGCTTGGAATACACAGACCAATATATGGTACTGAACTAACTTCTGACGCATATATCCCAGAAGGTTTATTTGGACACTGAGATGGGGGTGTGTGTGTGTCTATGTATATGGTACTGAACTACCTTCTGGCCACCATAAAGTTTAGGATACGTGAGCCAAACCAGAATTGCAGCAAAACCTTAAAACTAGTTATGACTTATGAAACATAACTATGGTTTTGAGGGACGGCAGCCATATGACGAGGGAGGGCAGTAGGGAGGGCCGTATCCACCGGGAGGGCCGTAGCCGCCGGGGGGGCCGTATCCACCGGGAGGTGTGGGATATGGCGTCTGCGAAAGTTTCCGTCCTGTACACAATAATATATGCGTAAATTAATCGAAATATTATATGTACAACGTACGTACATGGCTTAATTGAGTGAAATGAAGGAAGGAAGAGAAGTAGTGGATGGTACCGAGTTTGAAATCTGCAGAAGCCATGTGGTTGCAGAGAATGGTGAGGAGGAGGAGTGCTATTGCCAGAACAGAAGCAAATGGCTTCATCTTCTTCATCACTCCCATGCTGTGTGTTGTGAGGCCATCAATATAATAACCGCTATTTATAGACTCGTTATAATTATCCACAGCACTTTTTTTTTTTTAATAATTATATTCTTCTTCTTCGTCAGCCCAAATCGAGTCTTTCTTCTTCTATATATTTTATTTTATTAACCAATTATAAAAAAACACAAATCATTCACTTCTTGCATTGATAGCTTTATCTAGAAAAAAAAAAAATCAGATCAGACACTAAATCGTTAAACCACTAATTTAGGAGTCAGTTAGTCGAACCGAATCAACTTGAATCAAACCAGTCATATTAAAATAATATAATTTAATTAAAAATGATAAAATACAATATTAATAATCACTAGTAATAAAATGTAAAAAAATATAATAATAATTTGATTGTAGTAATAATTATTATAAATAAAAAAAAGCAAATCATTCACTTCTTGTTAGCTCTAATGCTCTGTATATATCTTGATGGTCTTGTGTGGGGGAAATTGGTTTCCTCGACCCCGTCAATCTCGATTTTGCCATCCCGACACGATCATGTGCCTAGTACGGTCAAGGGCTGATGTAGATTTTAAAACGCGTTTTCCATTTGGTCCCTCAGCCACCAAGTCGTTAATCTGTCACTGTGCTTAGTCAATTGATGTACGAGGCGACTAGTTATATTAATTACAATCGTATTCTTAGCATTAAAACCTTGGCTAACAATATGTGATTCATTTTAAGGACGGGTGATGGAATCCCACGTTTACTGATATTTAATTTCACGTATTTTTCAGGAGTTATACGAGAAATTCTTACGTGGACCTGACGCACCACATAATTTGTCGTCTATCCAATAAAAAAAAGCCAGCTCACATAACTTCACTCTTACATGGCATCACAATTAGAAAAATAATAACCAGTGGGTCCAACAAATTTTTATATTTAACAAGCTCTCTCCATCAGTTAATTTCTCCCTCTTCATCCGACTTTCGCTTCCAACAATGCCCTTCTTCCTCTTCCATCGAAGCTCAGTACCCGTAGCTTGAAAGCTCTACCGTTAAAAAGTAAGTGAATTTGCTTGGTTTACCAGAATTTTAAATTTTTATTCCTAATCAATTTTTATTAATGGAAAACCCATGCATTGCAATTTTACTGGAGAAATAGATCTAATGAATATAAGTCTAGACCTAAATTTTGTCTTTTAAAATATATCAGCATCCTAAAATATATTTTTAAGTATATTTAATGCATTAAAATATTTTTTATGCAATTTGACACTTAGCATAATATACAAGTTGTTATGAAAAATTAGGGCAATCCAAAGAATTTGAATTTGACGCAATTTAAATTATTTTTTTAGTACTTTAAAGTATTTTTAATGCAATTGAAAGTACTTGATGTGCTAAAAAATAATTTAGAATGCTCGATACACTTAACAAAATATTTTAAGGTACTAAATACAGTTTAACTCATATAATAATATGAAGGCTAAAACATATTTTTAGTCTTTTAATTTTATATAAGATTTTAATTTAATTTCTTGACTTTAAAAAGTATACTTTTAGTCTTTTTATCCTAAAGCTGTTAACAAAAAAATAATAATATTGAGATCTTGAATGTTAATAAAATATTGTTAAAAGCTAATATATTAAGTTTAATTTTCAAAATAATTATAATTGTTATAGAAACTCATCATTTAAGACTAAAAATTTTAAAAGTTAAAAGACTAAAAATATATTTTTAAAGTTAAGAGATCAGAAACTTTATATAAAAATAAAAGGCTAAATATATGTTTTAATCTAATATAAAAGTTAGTATCTAAAATTATTGATCCATGCAAATTTAAAAATTTTGATAGATATAATTAAAATAGTGAACATGGGATTGAGATGAATTTAGTTATAGTATATATATCACACATATATTGTTTATTTCAATTGATATAACTAATTGAGGTAAACAAATTTCATATACATAATACTACGTCTAATCTTAATATAAAAGTTAGTTGACTAATTTGAGTAAATTAATAAAATTTGTTAAATTGATTATTTGTAATAAATAAGTGTTATCTTTCCTAAAATACTATTATTAAACAAGTGTATTACCTTTAACATTGGATAAAACAGCTACTGTAAAGACTATGTTAAAAAAATAAATAAAGATTTAAAATTAAATTAAAAACCAGACTAATTCTTAAGAATTAGAGGTAATAATATATTAAGAAAATCCCAAATTTACAGTTTGAAATTAACTGTAGAGCTTTGTTCTTTTTCCCAAAAAAAACTGTAAAGCTGCCAAGTCGGACAAAACGGTGTCATGCTTTGATGGAAGATAAAAAGGCCATAATTCGAAGTGAAAATGGAGGAAGGGAGAGAAATTAATTGATGGAAAGAGAAATTGTTAAATAAAAATTGGTGGGACCCACATAGATTATTTCTTCGATTGTCATGCCATGTAAGACTGAATATCTATGAGTTGGTTGCATTTAATTGGATAGATCAGAAATGAAGTGGTCCCCGGGTTCACGTAAGAATTTCACATGCTTATGTAGTAAGAAGTACTTTGGAGACTTTGGACTAACGTAGCTTCTTTCTTAGAATTCAACGGGGTCTGGTCCACCACTCTAAGATTGAAGTACCGCTGGGAACAAGGAAATTACTATGCTCAATATTTTACTGAAGAGCATTAATATGTTATCTTTAAAATTTTCTAACGTTCTTGTTGTGGCTCTGTTTCAGAATACGGTTCACTTAGGTCTGGCAAGCTTCTGTTTCAGAGGTGTGAATAGTTTTGACATTTTATTTGTTAAGTTGTTCATTGCAGAAAAGCCCAACTGATGAGATGTTGAAGCTAATTAATTAAGGGGGGTTAAAAGCTTCTAAAGTGGTCAGAGGATCATGATTTTGAGTTCAAAATTGGTGTATGTATGTATGGATATGAATTTTTTTTCCCCGTGAAAAAACCTTAATTAGTTTGGTTGATGGGCGGATATGGATTAGTAATTTGAGCTTTAAACCTGACCATCCCTCCATGTGACCACATTTTTCCCTGAAAATTAAAAGGAAAAACTTGGTTGTTGCTTATCTACCTTTAATTAATTACCTATATATATATGATGATGTTATATGATCTGATAAAACTTGGATTATCTCGGTGCATATGTATAGATTCTGGTCTCTGCTGCTCCAATTGTGTTCTGTTGTGATATGAGCTCCTAAATGGGATCTTGATTTCTCCATCTAGTTGAAAGCTTTTGTTTTGCTGTTGGATAGAAATTCTGTCTGATATACGTGCTCAATGAATTTGTCAGATTTTAAATATATTTTAGTTTCCATCATGGACTCAGGACTCATGGTTTTGATCCAAACATTGAATGTATATTAAGTTATATTTGTAGCAAAATGAAATTTTATTCTTCATATTCTGCCTCATTTAATGGTTGATCTTTTAAATGCCAAATTTCTCCATCATACTTTATTAGGCTGAGGTGTAACTTTAATAATGATGTTTTTCACTGTGAACATCTAAAACATAGATTATTGTTTCAATTTATAGCGTTTGTGCATGCAAGTTTTTGCCCCCCTCAAACGGTGCCAGATGCCCATTGCAAACAAAAAATATTATTAAAATTACATGTCACCCCGTCTTATCGTATTTCTAAATTTAACCAAGAGTCTTTCAAGAGAATAATAAATAATAAAGAAAATAAGTACTACCTTTGATTTTTAATTTGAAAACTATAAAACTAATTTAAAGAGATTAAGAAAATTATTTAAGCTAGTTAATTATAATAAATATATGTTGACTTTCTTAAACTACTATTTTTAATCATGTGCATTAGAATTATTTCTTAGCAACCCTTCCAGTCGATAAGAATATTTTAAAGAAAACATTATAAATTTAATAGACAAAATAGATATTGATATTTTATATCTATAACCAAATCAAATTTTCAACTAATTCTCTTATATTAAATACCAGTGCTAGTATATAATAAGCTAGGAGTAGTAATTTATACAGGGTCACATTTGTTGAAGTTAACTAATTTATCTATCCTCTAGCATCATTGATCTGGTTGAATTAGTTAAGTAATTCTTATATTAATAACCCAGGATAGTATTTCTTGAGTCTTTTATGTAAGAATTACTTAATTAATTTCGGTAGGTCAAGAAAGATAACTAAATTATTTAATTCTAACAAATGTGGCATGATACGATCTTCTTAAAATGCCTATATATATATATATATATATATATATATATGTAACTCAAGAATATATCAGTATATAAGTTAGATAAAAAAGAATAAATATTCAACATGGAATGAATTAAGATTTCATATTTAGAATCCAGACCAACTCCATAAATAATTTTTATATTTGGGATCCGAGGAGTATATGCCTATAATACATGATCTAGAAACCTCGGAGTACCTAGTTGATTATATATAGATTCTGGTTTGCGCTTTGGGAGTGGAATATATGTACGTGCATACATATATATAATCACATATATGATGATTTTCACGAAATCCCTTAGCTCGCGGCGAATAAGGATATAATTTTGGTATGGGCTTTAAAAGTGGCAGTATAACCATACCTTTTCATTAATGAGGAAAGAAAAGCTGGTTTTGGATGACGTTGCCGCTCAGATAAACTATGTTCTGTTGTAAATTATAATTAACCTCCTGAATGGACCATGCGGTCTTGATTTTTCCATCTTATTAAACCCTTCTGTTCAGCTGTAGGGAAAAAAATTTACCTCTGGTCCTAATTATAAGACCGAGTTAACTAATTTAAGGAGATTAAAAAATTTAGTTAAATTAGTTATTTGTAATGAATATGTGTTATTTTTTTCAAAATATCCTTACTAATCAAGTTTGTTATCTATAACTATCATTATGAATGGACTATCTTAGGAAAAAAAGATAAATATGAGAGATAAAGTAGATTGACGTCTTATATTTAAAATCATAATAAAAGTTAAATAAAATCTTATA